TATAACTTTAACGTTTCAACCATCTTTTATCTTTATTCAAAGCTCTAGCTTATGTTAAATATAAAACTATATAGTTGGCACTGGTATTTAGCTCGTTGCTTTCACGTAATCCATCAACTCTGAGGTACCTCTATACATGTTTGGCTTAAATGGAGGCTTACACTACTAGAAAAGACTTCGTCGGAATAGTAATTGTAAATAAGTAGAGAATTTTAGCCGCTTCCAGCTTTTATTCAGGACAAGACGGAATTAAAAGTTTATCCTTATATTTGCGTATAGTTAGAGATATTAAACAAATGGGTCAAGATGGCAAAAATTCATTGGCTTATTGCATGATGTGAGCAATGTAATAATGCTTTTATAAAAGTTCTATGAAAATATGTACAAATTGAAAAAATTTTGGGCGCAAACGCATTATACATGAGCCTTAAGAAGGATTGAATAAAGTCTATATTTTGAGCCTCTCAAATAATTACAATTAGAATAGACGTGTGAACTGAAAAAAGCGTGAATTTATCCGTAACTTCAATTTCTGCTTGCATTTTAGAACATTCTTTAACTCATAAGAGGACTGCATAGTTCAACTTCATCAAGTTCTGGTCATCGGCAGAATTCACTATGTTTCACAAGCCTGCTAAGCCACAAAAACCTAACATGGCAAAATTTAGTTAAGTGCGGTACATACTATATGCATATTATGGTTAACTTTTCCTCTGCATTTCGTAATGATTTTCGTAATAATATTATATAGCATACTTATTTCCTGTATGACATTTCCATGATAAAAGCTTTGACAAACATGTTACTATTAGAATTGTAAGAAAATTGTTTACTTAGGAATAAAATAAAGATTGATCACATCGATAAGAATCTGACAAAAAAATTTGTATTAAGAGCAAATAAATTCATGTTGAAAACGAGATACATCTTATATAGTCGGATTAATTTTGCATCTGAACACAAATAGCACTATAAATATTTGTTAGGTCATTTATGATGCATGGGCATGATCTTTAGGACATTTATGGTTTTAGTAAACTTAAACTTATTCCTGAAATTATATTTTCCAAATTATATATATATATATATATAGAGAGAGAGAGAGAGAGAGAGGACGCTTTACTAGTATATTTAAATAATATCCAAATATATACCCTAATAAGCGAACGGAATTGATTTTAAAAACAATACTTGAAAGCTGAAGCTCATAGCTGAATTTCAGTCTATTTTAATAAACGCCTTCACCTAAATAACTTATTCATTATAATATTCTCATTTTAGTCAATACGCTGTCTTTAAGAATCTTCAATACTATTCAGACGATATTAGAGCAAACGAAATTATGCCTAATCTTGCTTAGCCATGGCATCTTCTCTAGATTTTATGCTAGATTTGGTGATAAACCATGTTTTCTATAAGCATTCCCCAAGAAAACCAAAGATTTTCAAAGTTAAGAAAACAAAAACCGAGCTATATAAAGGATTCGAGAGAATCTAAGAGCTTACCTATGCAACCTCCACAAACATGATGAAGCGAACAACGCCATCGCGCTAAGCCAAGACTTTAAAATTTTAACTTTATTACTTTTGGGTAGCCCAATTGTGTTTTAAAACTTGTAATTTTCGAAATGCTTTTAGTTATTATTCCTTTTTAATAAAATCCATAAATAAAAATTAAGCATGCTCAAATACAGCTGCCATACTTCAACAATAATGCATATTTCTTGGAGCTTAGATGTTTGAATTTGAAGGTTTTATTTGCTTTGTTGATTTATGTTGCCAAGTTTATAATTTTCGTTAATAGTCTCATTATATACTAGATACCTAACGGATTTTGTCAACTTGGCTTAAATCTCCGATAATTCTTGCATGATTATGTGGAAATGATTCGACTATAGCAGGATTAATTGCGTGATATCTCAGGTAAACTTGTCTTTAAAAAGTTCAAAGTACCTTACGATTGCAGCATGGCAATGACAACATACAAGAATATAAATGGTAGCAATCACAATCTAAAATATGAGATGCTAACTTATCCTTATAAAAAAATTCTTAACCCTTAATTCATTACCTGACGTTGAAGAGCAGCTTCGATTTCTGGATAGCCCTTTTTGTCAAGCTGCATGCTGGGAAACAGGTCCACAATCAGTGACATAAATAGAGGCTCATCTTCGTCGACAAGTTTGCTAACGTTCATGTCTCGTAGTACGCGCATTACAATCATTGGCTCACCGTCCTGGGGATTAGAACGCTTAAAAGCTCCAAGTGTCCGAAGAACAGATAAGATATTCCGCAGTCCAAAATCATAATGAACCTAAATGAGTTAACATAAAGTAGGGAGAGAAAAAGCATTAGGGGCGCTTTTCATTCGTCGGGAACTTTTTTCCCAATGTAAAGATATTAAATCTGAGTTACTAAAAAAATTCCACAAAGCATCATTAAAATATGAAGCATGTATAGCTCATGCATATTTACATCAGCCTAAAGATCATTCATATACGAGAAAGTTAATGTAACACTGGATTTCCAATAGAGCCTGATATAAAATGTATCTGAATAACTATTATCTTGTAAAGAACCAATCAAGATTTCTAGCATACTGAAGTATCCTTGAGGTATTTTTATAAACTCAAATCCACAATTAATGACACTAGGGGTTATGATAGCTGCTTCTCCTCAGTCAAACCCAGGCTGTCAATTTAAGTTTCATATCAGATATCAGCTAAGATATTAAATTATTGGTCCGCGAGTGCTCTATATAATAATGAAAATCATTTGAGCTAAATTTGATCGTCAAGCATGGTCTTTTAAATCTATTAAAGCCCTGATATTTCATAAGACGCCTCTCTTAAAAAGGGCTTTATTGCTTACTATAGAAAAAATACCCAACACAAATGGGGACAAAATACTTGTTTCAAATTGAGTTTAACCATGAAATACAATACAAAATTACACTTCACCCAAAACGCCTATATTCGCCCTTGCCTCAATCTCGTGAGCAGTTGAAGCACGTTTCATTTCAGGTAAAAGGCACCCCTTTACCTCAAGCCTCTAGCAAGATTACATAATAGGATAATGTAGGCTTCTCTAATGTATATTTAGAAGGGACTTCATACCAGAAGGCATCAGCTGAATATTCATTAAAACATTACAGTAGAATGCATGACCCTCATAAGTTTACCGTAAAAATAAAATTTCTTCACTAAATCCTTGACATTTAAGTCATCCATGCAAAATTTAAAACGGTATTTCAACAAAATAACACACATTTTGCAATAGGATGATGCTAATTAAACTTACATTCTAAGACGCAAATTTCTACTGATATCTAATGAGCCTTAATTCTTGAGTTCATATAAAAATTGTCCTTTGGTTTAGGAATGAATGATGAATGATTATTACACACTGGACTAAAAAGAATGTATGCCTTTAAGTCATATCAAAGATTAATAATGTATTTTAACATAAAATGAGCAAAATCTGAATGACCTAATATAGGCTCACCTGTTTAGAAAGCTGTTCTTCACAGAGTTTGTATAATGTATAGAACTTTTTTGAAAGTTCAACATTCTTCAGGAAGCCACAGGAGGCCAACTTCACTCGCATGATAATGGCACGATCTGGCACCATCATTGCGACGGTACGGAAATTTATTTTCAGATTTTCTGGGAGCTCTTGACGACCAGCATATCCAGGATTCTATAAAAGATAGAAGGAAGGATGAAGTATTGAAAAATTACTTCTTTAGGTACTATATCTCAGCATCTTTGTCTTAGGCTATTAGAAATATGAAGCTAAATATAGAAGTAATGGCTCTTGTTGATCTCAAACTTGTTACCAAAAATATATTTAAATTTAATTTTTTACTTGATCCGGCTGATACAGTTTTGTTATCACTCGCATAAAGTAAGCAAATATGTGTAAGGATTATATTTTTATGATCGAACATTATTGAAAAGGCTGAAGAAAATGTCATTATATTTTGCTTTGTTAACATATAAGTCTAATTTTTATACATAGATAATCAAAATGGCCCCAGATATAACGTAAAGCAAACTCAGTTTTATCATTCTTCATGATCAAGCCTACCATTGTCAAAAATATTCCAAATTCAGGATCCATTTCCACAACGTCCCCATCAGTGAAGATAAACTGCGATTTTCGTTCCTTCTTGCACGTAAGGACAATAGCGATCTGCTGGGCAGCTACAGAAAGGACAGGAAGCTCGATCCGATTGAATTCATCGAAACACCCCCAGGAACCAGATTGCGCAAGACCCTTGTATATGCGGCCCAAGCCACGATAATCCATCTGGTCTGAGCAGTTAAAGACGACTACAAACTTTCCCAGGCATCGGCCCATGTCCTTTGTCGTCTCTGTCTTGCCGGTACCCGCAGGCCCGGCAGGTGCACCACCAAGTGACATGCCAAGTGCTTGTGCCAAAGTAATGTAGCATCTAAATTAAAATAAGAAAAATATACACTTAGGTGGATTGTATGCTATGTGTGGAAGGAAAGCAATATTTGTGTGAAATTGGGCAAGTGAGTTAAAATTAGCTCCCTATTTTTAGACTAACGATGAAAATTGTAAAGCAGACTTGGCTTCTCGGTTAAATACAAACCATTCGCAACTCGAGATTTTTTTCTTCTACCTGAGATTGTTAGGCTCAGAAAATAAGGTCAATATAAAAATCTTTCGAAGCCACTATTAATATCACTGGAACGCAGGAATTTTAATCCTTTATTGGGGCAAGGATAGCTTCCAATTTATGAATCTGTATTTGCGATAAATTTACATAATTGTTGAGTATAATGCTTTGATTTCAGCAATCAATGATCACTATGAAACAGTAATACCCTTTTTATATAAATTTAAGGTCGTTCATATGAAAAACGCTTCGAATTCATTAAATATAAATTATTCGTTGATTTTACACTGCATGGAATCTAATTCCCGAGGATCAAGTCTAAACTATTTTCCAATTAAACCTACACAGCAGTAACACAAAGCTTGCATGCGACTGGAAGTACTTACCTATCAGTAAGGGGCGTTATCACAAGTCGATCGGTGCAGCCAAGGAACTCATTCTGATAGATGAAGTCGACGTCTGTAATACTGACAATGCATTGGTCATTCTCTTCCAGAAAATAGAAACGAGATTGCTTAAGCCATTCAAAGTCTTTGGGAGAGCGAACATGCATATTAACCTGAAACCGAAATAAATCAAATAATTTTCCGATGAATATTTAAAGACATCTTCATTTAAAAGCTATGAATTAAGGGCTGTCTTTTTAAAGATTACTTATTATACCGACTATCATTATTAAGCTGATTTGATTTTTAGGATTATGAAGTTCGAAACAGCTCTCCTTGCTATCCATCCATTCATAAAACAAATCTCTTTTCTTCTACCCAGCAATTCATCCAAACTTTGTGAGCTTTGCGAACTTTATAATATACAACACTTGATTTCAAACTTATTATAAATCATAGTTTTCAAATAG